ATGTGCTTGTTGTAAAACATCATAGATATTTAAAAAGCTCTAAAGTTAATAGAAATTGAAAATAAAAACTAATGGTAACTACATCAATTATCTTCTTCCAGAGTTCAGAAAAAAACGGATAATATCCTTATAAAAATATGAGAAAACTTTAATCAAAATTAGTAATAATTTTTTATACTTATTAAGAAATATTTTAATGTTTATCCAGAATGATTAGTTTGTATGGCTTTTCCAACATTTGCCCTTAAGTTTTAGAAATTAAACGATAAATACCCTGTGTTAGATATTAAGAACCGGACAAGAATAAGGTTGTTTCATCATTCATGAGTTCAAAAAACGATACTCATGCCTCTCATCCACATTAGAGGAATATTAGCGGAATATAATGGAAATTCAATGAATATTGATATGACACTTGAAGGATTGTCAACATCTATAGAAAGATATGTGTTACTGGTTCCATAAAAAGAATGAAAAGGGTGGAGTTATTTTTATAATAATAATAATAATAATAATAATAATAATAATAATAATAAATCTAACATTTAACAAATTAATAATTTGTTTGACCAGCAATACAAAATACAATTAATTTCGTAATTGATCAATTGTAAAATTACGTTTTACTAATTAAAAGAATACTAAAATACATTTTTCTTATAACTAATTTTTTTCAAATGACATTTTCATTTAATAAATATGATTAGTCTTGCAATATAATTGTGAGATACGATATTTTTACAAATTTATTTTTAAAAATTTCAAGAGTTTTTTGTTCTACGGATTAAAAAGATGGTTATTTTCATAAATATTGTGGTGGTTATATTTTTCGTTTATCCATAATAATAATAAGAATAATAACAAATTTCAAATTTGGCCCTTCTACTATGCCGTAGTAGATGGGGTAGAGTATGCAAGAACCGTTTTCTAGCTCATTCGCTTTCACAAGAAAGATATTTATGAGTAGTGTTCACGTATGTAGAGAATAAGTCTTACATTTATTTGTATCGACTCATTTGTGATATGTGCTAGAAGGATCCACTAAGATTAAATACAATTATAAAGATGGTGTTGTTTATGTAAGTCTGAGAATTGGGTTGGGTTTAAGTTCGCGGGTTAGAATACATTGACCTGACCCAACTCATATAATACATGGATTTTGTCAGCAACAGACATTTTTTAAGGGGCATTTCAAAACTAGGTCACAAAAAATCGGATTTCCAGCAATAGACATGCATTCCGCGAAGCTGACATCTGCGGTCTCCGCGGAGAGAGATCTAAGTGGAATGGTAATTTTGTAAAAAAACGAGGGGCATTTTCATATTTTTGCCCACTCCGCAGAGCAGGTAACGAGGTCCGTGGAGGGGCTCTGCGGAACCGTCGTTTTTGTCAATTCCGAGAAATGACCTTTGCATTACCCTCGTCGAGCCCTCACTCCGCTTTACGACCACCAATGCTTCGCATTTTCCTCGCCGAACCTCCGCATTTGGCTCGTTGATCCGTATCAATCTCATCGACGAAAGGAGATGGATCTGAATGCCTTTAACATTTTTAGCGATGGATTTGGCCCTCGGGTATACATTTTCGATTTTATGTACTCCGTCTTCATATTCTTTAGTTGTAGGGTATGATGTTTAATTAAAATGCGTTATACCTTCCTAAGAAAAACCGTGGAAAAAGAGGAAAATTTGAGAAGAATACGAAATTTGGGGAAGATCCATTCTGCGGAGGTGATGGTCTAACCGCAGAACAACCTTTAAATAATTTTTTTTCTTCCGTACTATAGCAATGTAATTTCAAATTATTACCCTTTATAGAAAAGTGAAGATTAGTTCATATGTTGATGAGAATTATATAAATGGGTGGTTTTTAAGGTAAATTGAAAGTACATTGCTATTTATTGTCTTAACCAATTTTACTATGTAATTTTAAAATCTTGTTTTTTTATTTCAATCACTAACCTTTTATATTAATTTAAATGTATATGTTTTGTAGCACGATTATCTCGGACAAAAAGCCGATTTAACTTTAAAAGGCGTCGTCGGTACTATCATTAAAGACTATTTTCCGCAGCTAACTAAATCGCAACAAACATTATTTGAAGCTTCACCGTTTGGGAAATTCCTAGGAATGCATGTCCTCAATGGTGACCCCTTACTCGTACATTTGATGATGTTGCATGAAGTACGGTCTCAAGACATGTTTGAAGCGAGGAGGTTTTAATTTGAGATACAGGGGGTGCAACTGGATTTTGGTGAAAAAGAGTATATTTTGATAAGTAGGTTAAGAGTTGGTCCTTATGTCGATTTAGTCCATGAAGAAAAAGACCACTCAAATTCAAATCTTCGGGCTCGGTTGTTTCCAGACATTACAGATGCGCGTTTGCGGCTCAGAGATTTAGTAGAGTACATTATGTCTCCATAATATCTTGCACTTTGGGATGAAGATGCGATAATGCTTATCCAACTTATTTTTGTGTTGAAAGGTTTCACGGACGAAACGTTAAAACGTACATTCTCGCGTCAGTATATAAGCTTACATATAATATATATAACTGGAACAGGTAGGGATGCAAGTTTTACCCACGGATTCGGGTACCCGAGGATACCCAACCCGAACGGGGCGGGTATTCCCCGTCTTGACAGGTAATGGGGCGGGGGCGGGGATTATTTTTCATACCCGAAGCGGGTACGGGTCGGAGACGGGTATGACACTATCCGTCCCGTTTAATACCCGATTACATATATATATATATATATATATATATAAGGTTTAGGTCATTTTTGGTCACTTAACTTTTGGTTTTGTGCTCATCTGGTCACTTAACTCTTTTTAAGTTTTAAAAGGTCATCAAACTTTTGGCTTTGTGCTCATTTAGTCACTTAACTTTTGATTTGGTCACATTTAGTCACCTAACTTTTAAAATTGTGTTCATTTAGTAACTAAACTTTTAAAAAAATTTAATATTTTAGTGACTAAATGAGCACAGTTTTAAAAGTTAGGTGACTAAATGAGCACAAATCTAAAAGTTAAGTGACCAAACCAAAAGTTAAGTGATTAAATGAGCACAAAGTCAAAAGTTTGATGACCTTTTAAAACTTAAAAATAGTTAAGTGACCAAATAAGCACAAAACCAAAAGTTAAATGACCAGAAATGACTTAAACATATATATATATATATATATATATATATATATATATATATATATATATATTAGAAAACTATTAGGATATTTTATTTTTATTAGTGTTGCATTTAAAACTTAAGAAGATAATCAGTATAGTATCAACCTAATGATTTTTTTAAAAGCTTGACACTTCGGTTGATATTTATTTAATAGCATGTATATGATAGTTTACCCAATTCCTACTTAATAGTCTTTTAGATAATTTTGATATTTTGATTTATGTATGTTCAGGAAGAAGATTTATTATGGAAGTCTCAAATGTTTAAAATATAATATCCAAATAATGAACCAAGCTCATTGCATTTAATATATATATATATATATATATATATATATATATATATATATATATATATATATATATATATATTTAGTGATAATGTTATGCTTATTGTATTCAAGTTATGCTTCTAAATCGAAGAATGCAAAAAAAAAAACACATTATGTTTCATAAGACTCGTATTTTTTTCAACTATTGTTTGAATTAAAAGATGTGTACATATATATCGAAAAACAAACAGTGAGAATAGCATCTTAGTTTGTTCAGTGAGCATTCTTAAATCATATATATTGAAAAACAAACACCAAGAAAACTTTTGTTTCCCTTTGAAAATTAATGTTACACACGTGTTAAAGAGAAGAAAAAATCTATTACTTGATCTCACATTGGCTTTGGTAGATAAATCAAGTGAACGGAAACAAGTATAAAAGGGGATGAGGACTTGATGCTTGTAATTGTATCTTGAGAGGGAGCTCATTATATATTAAAGAAGCCCTTAAGTCGAATTGAATGTATGTTTTCTATTGGCCTTTGAGCCGGAAAACAATTTTTAAAGTTTGTCCAACAAACTAGAAGAGCTAGTGCCTGTTAAGTTAGTCTTTAGCCATAAGTACGGGTACCCGGTGGGGATTTTTTCACCCAAACCCGTCGGGGATTAGTCGAGTCGGGGGCGGGGATGGGTATGCAGATTGGAGTTTGGGTACGGGGACGTGTATTATAGTCCCCGCTAATATTCGTCCCCATTTGCATCTCTAGGAAAAGGTACTACATTTTTAAATTCTATATAAATACAAAAATAATTATAATAACTAAAATGAAAATTGGTTTGCATGGGGTACATATCTCTGGACCTATACTTCGAGGTTGATGCGTGAAATGTTTGAGAAAATTGAAAATTTTAAACTATTTAAGCAGGCCAATCCTGAGTCGACGAAAATGCATAATTATATTGTTCCCAGTTTTATGCTTCCGTTTAAGGTTAGTTTTAAATGGAACTGTAAATAATTATCATACTCTCGTTTTTATACCATAATAGCAGTGTACTTTTGTTTTATGCCATAATAGCATCATACTTTTGTTTTCATCCCATAATAGCATCATACTTTCGTTTTTATACTATATCAAAACCATTCTTTCCTTTTTATCCCATAGATATGGATTTTTTAAGACGTTCCCAGAGGTAATTTGTTATTCACATGCCGAGAGAATTGCCACGAATGAGGGTGTGGAGAAGAAAAACACCATTTTTTTGGGAGCAATGTCGTCGTATAATAAACGTGTTTTTGGTATGTTTTTTTATATTATAATTATATATAGTTATACATTCCAATGTTTTTTTGGTGTTAAACTAACAATGTAATATTTGCAACATAACAACGAGCCATATGTTGTCGTGGACACGGAGACGGAGATCCATGAGCCGTATTATGTACGCTATGTGAATTGGACTCTGAACCGTGTGGAATCTACCCCACGGCAGCAAAGTCCACCATCTTCTGTTTTCGAACCTGATCGAAGAAAGATGTATAAGAATGAAGGAAACATCATCCACAAAAACGGCCTCAAGTGTTTCTTCCTCGAACCAGCCCATACGCATGTCAAGTGACACATCAACAAGTTCGGTAAAGAAGAAGAAGACGAGCACGAGGTCAATGATGAAGCATCTAATAGGCGTTGTAAGTCAGTTATCTTCAAAAGTAAACCTTGTATTGCAGAAAAAAGATAAACCAAATAAAAGGTTTAGTGGGGAGGACATGGTAAATGTAGAGGAGGAAGAACCATATAACCATGGTCCGGAGATGAATTTTGATGATACCTGTGTTTATGGGTTGGAGAAGGAATTTGTCCCTACTGCTACGGGGCATGTAGTTGATCCGTCACCGGAGATTGTTCAACTTGACGAAAAAGCAGTCACACCTATTGGTACGCCATAAAGAACGAAGGCTCCTTCACAGTCTCAGCGGACACCATACGCAGTGGTATTAATATAATCTAAATTTGTCTATTTATAAAATATTACATTGTCGATAATTATGTGACATTTTAATTTTTTAGATTGACTCCACACCAAAAATGAAGAAAATACAAGAATAAGGAATAAAAAAGAAGTGGAGTGTCCCGAAAAAGGAAATGAAGAAATTATGCATGGAGACGTTGGTGATGTGTCAAATAAACTAAAATTGGACACTTATGAGGTTGTAAGTACGAGGGGTTTTGGAACGAATGGTTTGTGATCTCTCTGAAGTTTAACGCTACTCACAGACTGCATTTACTCCCATTGCATGTTGACTTTTAGGCAAAGTTAATTGCAGTTTGTGAGAGAGGGTGGTTATTATCAATGGTAACATTCTTTATATTTTACCTAATTTTTGACACGAAAATTTATATTAAAAAATCTAACATTTCTACCTTAAAATACACAACATATTGCAATATGGGGTTCCTTGCTCGTGGAAAAACGACCAACGACTGTCAAGTGGACGATTTATCCTCGAGAAATAAATTTGGAACCCAATAAAATACATTATTTTAGGGCTGTAGCAAATGGTGACGAAGGTCGTGCTGCATGGAAAGATGTGGATATTGTTAGTGTAATATTTATTTATAGAGTAAATTATTGAAATGGTCCTTATGCTTTGGTAGATTCGTAGTTTTGATCCCAAAGTTTAAAAATTGATAGGTTGCATCCCTGTGCTTTATGAATATTGCGCTACAGGTCATTGCTTCATATAAAAAGACTAACTTACCCTTCCTTTTTCTTTTTCTTTTTCTTTTAACAATTTATAATAATAATAATAATAATAATAATAATAATAATAATAATTATTATTATTATTATTATTATAATTATTATTATTATGTAACAATTTTATTTGTTCTTTATTTTAATAGAATTAAGATAAATTTATTATAAAATTATTTTTATTTTTTAAAATTAATTATCTAATATATATATATATATATATATATATATATATATATATATATATATATATATCATATTATTAGTTATTCTTAGCTTTATTTATTTATCTTTGTTTTTGTGGTTTAAAAATATTTTAATATTATTGACGTCTTATTCGAATATACAATTTAATATTGTTTTTTTACGTTTTGTTCGTTCACATTATATAACATTTTGTATGCTTTGTTTGAATAAACAAATTAAAATAGAACCCCGAATAACTATCAAACATCAATATAATTATTTAATGTTGTTTTTTTATGTGTATTTCATTTACATCATTCGTTTATGTGCTTTACTTTTTTTTATTCAGATTTAAGAGGTTTTATTGTAACTTTTTAAATGAATAATCTTAAATATTATGATTAACAACTATCATACCGTTATAACTATCAAAATAACAATTGTATTTTAACAACTATTTGTTAAAAAAAATAATGTTACATAAAATCTACCGCTTGTTAATATTCGTTAAGTATATATTGTCTGAAATAATAAAAAATTTCTCTCATATTTATTTTAACAAAAGAAATAGGATTCAAATATAATATCTTAAATTAATAAATTATATAATAACAACAAGTAAAACATATAAATGAATGTTGTAAACAAAAAACACGTAAAAAATCAACTTTTAATAATTATACTGTATGATTGATTTATTCAAGTAAAACGTCAAATAAATGTTATATAATGTAAATGAACAGAACCTAAAAACAACATTAAATAATATATTCGAATAAAACATCAAAAATATTAAAAGATTTTTAAACCACAAAAACAAAGATAAATAAATAATGGTATGAATAAATAATAATATGATTTTATATAATTAAGATATTTAATAAAAAAAATTATAAATAATTTATATTAATTATGTTAAAATAAAGAACAGATAAAATTGTTATATATATATATATATATATATATATATATATATATATATTGTTAAAAGAAAAAGAAAAAGAAAAAGAAAGGGTAAGTTAGTCTTTTTATATGGAATAAGGACCAGCAGTGCAATATCCATAACCCATAGGGATGTAACCTGTTAATTTTTAAACTTAGGGACCAAAATTGTGAATCTAACCAAAGTACATGGACCATTTATGTAATTTACTCTTATTTATATAATATATCATTTCAATTTGTTATGTATCTTTTTTGCGGGTTTTATTCCCCATAAATGTTATTTGTTCCCGTTGGTTTTTGGCAGTGTTAGATCTAAAAACGAACGTTACCATTTATGATTCAACAAAATTTATGGATTACTTTGATAAGTACAAAATTGGTGGAGAATTCAAAAGTTTTAGTTATAGTCTCCTGTCGGAGCTGGACATAATTGGGTACTTTAATTATTTCCCCACTGGTCACAGAGGCACTTCAAATTTTGATGAAGCTATAGACGTGCTGTAGCAGGAAACATTTATTCTTCGAGGGGATTGTGGAGTTTTCGTATGCATGTTTATGTAAATGATTGTTTCGGGGGTACCTGTGAAGATAGAAAAGGCAGCTAGAGATGCAGGATTTATTTATAAAAATAGGATGACGAATATTATTTGAGACACTATATAGTTTGATTGTTTTAAAATATGTTTTACGGACTCGAGTTCTTTTAAAAATGATTTTTATGAAGTTTGTATAACCTTAAAATATGGTATTGTAAAAGACAAAATTTTAAGTTGTCCAACCAACTACTGTGCATGAAAACAATGTGCAAGAAAACAATGTTATTTCTGCAGTACTTATATTGTATTATATTAAAAGTACAGTTTCATAAATTAGTTTTTACTATAAAATGATATTAAAATCAATATCATTTCATCTACTATGTATCATTTATTCGTATATTTATTTAAAAGATTTTCCCTTATATCTTCATTCACAATGGGTTCACAACCATGGACCGTTGATGAGGACTTGGTTCTAACTTGTGCATATATTAATGTCTACGAGAACAACAGATGGAATGATACAATGTTTTGGACCCGTTTAACTAATACCTTCAACACTGACGCTCGAACCACCTAAGAAAACCATCGTTGCACCCTTGATATCAAAGCTAAATGGTGTGAACTAAAAACATAAATTCTATTATTTAACTATCTTTATAACAAAATTGAAGACACATATGTAAATGATACTGAGGAAGTCATCTCGGAGGTGGTTAAAGAGGAATACAAATCCATTAGCAATGGGTTGAAACTCAAGTATGAAACCCCTTGGAATCTTATGAAAGATCTCCCGTATTTTTAATTTGTATTGTGTTTGTATTAGGTATGTACGTCGTTTGTATTATGTTGTTTTTATGTACTACGTTTGTATTAGGTTATTTATGAAAAAAGTTGGGTTATTTTCTACTTTATTCCATGAAACAGATAACACAAACATGAAAAATACATGGAAACATAAAACATTACAAATAAGAAGATAAAACATTACACATAAAAGAGCCGTCTACATGAAATACTGGTTCCTTTTAACCAGATTCCAAGCATCCTCATACCCGAACTCACTTCCATCACGCTTGAATATGTAATGTTCTTTAACAACTTCTAAAAGTTCTTCATCGTCTGAGCAATAATAGTTGTTAGTTTTAATATAATGATACCATTGATTGAACCATGTGATTTTTTCCTTTAAATATCTCCATTTACTAACAATATATACCCAGTGTTGTCCTTGCCCCATCTCATGGATAAAAAACCTGTTATACGGGTCCATTCATCACCTACAAGACAATGTGAGGGAACCATTGGTGTTACACCCTCGTAAATGCTCATCTAACATCGTGTTACGACCATCACCTCTCTTGTCATCCATGGACGTGGGGCATTGGATGACGCTGATGCGTTGCAAGAAGTTGGTACAGTGGAGGCCATTTTTGAATAAAGCTGTGAAATTTTTATAGATTCAACCATTACTTAAATAAGAAAAGGGTTGACAAACAACTATGTATTGTCATTTCAGACTGACAAACAGCTCCGCGGACTGACAAAACAACTTTGAGGACTGAGAAACAACTTCGCAGACTGAAAAACAGCTCTCGAAATAACAAACAGTTCCTCAGATGGGCAAACAGTTATGTGTTATCATTTCGGACTGAAAAACAGCTCTACGCAGTAACAAACAATTTTACGGACTGGCAAATAGATCCGCGAACTAACAAACAGCTCTGCGGAATAACAAACAGTTCCATGGACAGGTAAACAACTATGTGTTGTCATTTCAGACTGACAAACAACTCTGTGGACTGACAAATAGCTTTGTGGACCGACAAACAGCACTGCGAACTGACAAATAGCTCTGGGTAACAAATAGTTCCTTGGACAGGTAAAGAGTGTACCAATTTCAATTGGAGAACTACTTAAATTGAGAACAAATTTCATGTTTAGAAGTTGTCAGAATGAGTTCGTTCAGTGATGTATTAAAACAAAGTTTCTCCAACCTACCGATATTCTTTCATACTCTACAAAGAACCAATACGTATACCTTCACGTGCAATAAGAATGATTTGAGAGATCGTTTTCAATTTTGTTTTGTGGATTTGGGATGCGTGGTATGCCATCTTTTATTGTAAATTATTTTTTATTTCTAGTATGTGTTTTTGGATAATGGTTGTATCTTTTCTTGCAGATTCGTACCTTTATCACGTCTATGATACCAATCATATTTGTTTCTCATGTACCTTTATTGGGACCAACATAACAACAATGTACATTGCAGTTGCTTTGGATGGAAATCATGAACCCTACTCATAGCATTCTCTTTGGGAACCATAGACTGTGACGACTCTTAGGCATGGTTCATAAGGAGGTTGAAAGAATGTTTCGGTGACATTATGAAAGTTGGTTTCATAATTCGTATGCCTGATTCAATAGACTACATCATTTGAAGAGTCTACACCGATTCATATCATGGGTATTGTTGTAAAAATATACCTGAGAAAATACGGGCTTCTACCAGAAGTAA